TTTTTGTATTAGGATTTTCGTCTTGAAATGTTCTAAGGAATCTGCCATTAAGAGGAAGTACGGTAGTTTTAGGACACTCTGTATATACTAGATAATTGTTTTGTTTATTCAAACACTACATATTTGTAGACTGATATCATATACTGAAAGTAGAAACTAACGAAACAAAACCGCTTAATGCTTGATCATTTCGAAGGAAACAAGACTGAATAAGTTGTGTAAATAAACTCTCAAATATTATGAAAAGAAAGTTCGGGAAGTTCTGTTTCTGTAGATTAAAATGTAATCGCAATTACCATATAATTACGATTAAAAGTAATTACGATTACATTATAATTACAATGTATAATTATAATGTAATTATAATTATAAGTAATTATAATTATAAGTAATTATAATTACAATTAATTGTGATTATATTGTAATTACAATTACATTGTAATCGCACCCGATAAGATTATCGAAAACTAAATATTTTACGAGATATTTTATTTTTTATATCAAAAAAAATATGTCAGATTAAGATATCAAATAACTCGAAAAATATTTAATAAAAATATACTTTATTATAGCGTTTTGAAAAGCTCTTGAGATAAGCTACAAGAATACGCAATAAAAAATGGGGGTTCCATTTAAAAAACGGAAGTTGACCTTTAAATGGCCTTGAAAATAACCTTTAATGTCAAATCCAAGGTCACTATTAGATATAATAGTTATCCCCTTTGTTCCCTACAACTTTTATCCGAGTCGTTTTCCTTCAAACGTTGATCCTGAAAAGTTATGAGGGTGGAACTTTTAAAATGGGACACCCTGTATATAGGGGAAAGTAGAGTAAAACCGAATACTTTTTTGGATTTGTCTTCCTACAAAAAATCTGAGAGTAAAAAGAATTTTGCCGATCGTTACTAGTCTTTAATAAACCGTAAACTATGAAAAAATAAGGCTAGTTGCTGAAAAAGAAAATGTTTGGTTACCCAGTGTGGCGGCCTACAGCAACCACAAAATTACGGCAGCGCGATATTCGCGAAATATTATCGTTTCTCGCAAGCGCTCGCCCGTCCGCGCGTAGTGCGGGAGACACCGGTAGTCGGCGCAAGGCGCTCGGGACAACAAGAATGTGAAAAGCAGTCCAGCGGGCATATAGCGCGTCCGCGCGTAGTTGCGGGCAGCACCGCTAGGCGGCGCAAGGCGCCCGGGCCAACCTGCAAGTAGAAAGCCGTCCGGCCGGAATATAGGTCAGACCCCCTGCAAAGAAAGACACGAAAAAAGTCATAGGCGCCAGTCGCCTACTTTCAAGCGCAAGTCGCTAAGACGTTGGAGAAAAGAGGCAGAAGAAAGCGCTAGACGCTAACTCTCGACAGACGAAGAAAATTCTTGGCGCCAGTGTTATTATTCGTACCCATCTTTATTAGTAACACATTAAAATCGATTAACTCCCAACTCTGCATATAACATATTATAGAATAATATAGTATATAATATACTATATGTATATAATGTGTAAAAAAAATAATTGTTTTTAAGAAAAAGTATGTAATTATTTACAATGTAGTAAAAAGAATTTTGCCGATCGTTACTAGTCTTTAATAAACCGTAAACTATGAAAAAATAAGGCTAGTTGCTGAAAAAGAAAATGTTTGGTTACCCAGTGTGGCGGCCTACAGCAACTACAAAATTACGGCAGCGCGATATTCGCGAAATATTATCGTTTCTCGCAAGCGCTCGCCCGTCCGCGCGTAGTGCGGGAGACACCGGTAGTCGGCGCAAGGCGCTCGGGACAACAAGAATGTGAAAAGCAGTCCAGCGGGCATATAGCGCGTCCGCGCGTAGTTGCGAGCGGCACCGCTAGGCGGCGCAAAGCGCCCGGGCCAACCTGGAAGTGGAAAGCCGTCCGACCAGAATATAGGTCAGACCCCCTGCGGTTAAAGGACGAAAAAAGTTCTTGGCGCCAGACGCCTCACTTTCAAGCGCAAGTCGCTAAAACGTTGGAGAAAGAGGCAGAAGGAAGCGCTAGACGCTAGCTCTCGACAATAAAGGAAGTTCTCGGCGCTAGACGCCGGACTTGCAACACATCACCACGTCTCGCAAACAGGACGGGGCATTCTCAACTCGGCCATCAGAGGTCGAGATCATCTCGCGGCGCAGGACTCGCCCAGCGCCGCTACATCTCACCTCGGCTAAGCAGAGAAAAGTCGGCGCTCAGTCGCCTCCAGCATCAGGCGCTCGGTCGCCTCCAGCCTCAGGCGCTCGGTCGCCAAGAGCTCACGGCGCCCAGTCGCCTCCGGTAACCTGCGTTCGGTCGCCAAGGAAAACCGGCGCACAATTACCGAATCCACCAGGAGCTCAGCCGCTGCATCCTCTGAGCACTATAGACCTGATCCTCGGCGACAGTCCGCCATACGCCAGGAACGAACAACCGGCTCCAGGAGCTCCACTACCGCTGTCCAAGCAGAATCACCTCCCGGGCAGCCCCGGGACGAAAAGGAAGGACACTAAGGCCCGGCTGCAAGCACTGTTCGGCGCTAGCCCGCCAAAGACCAGCCCCGGGCGTACCGGTTCAAGAATTAGGAGGGATCGACCGGTCATTCCGGACATCGGACGGCCACGGAGTACCACGCCTCCGATCCAGTGGTACCCTCCTCCTCTCATTTCGCCGCCACGAAGGACGCCACGAAAGGAGAGCATTGCCACGCAGACGAGCCCCCGGAAAATCTACGTTGACGGCGACGCAAACAAAGAAGCGGGGAGGAAGGGCACGTAAAGTGCTATTAAACAACAATAGTCAAACGTGCAATCCCAATTATAATAAAGAGAATCGTTTATATAAATGTAAGACGGGAACGGAGAGAACAGAACAAATTATATTTATGATGACAAAAACATTTATTTCTCTACCTACAACTTTGGGTTACGAACTGCATAAAACAAACTAGCATAGAAACTACGCGTATAACCGCGTACCACACGGAGCGACCCACAGTTATAATTTAAAGAATTACTGTTTGGTGGGGCTTGAATAGTGATGTGCTTTTCATCGGGAGCGGTGCACTTGGACATAGTACAATTGGACACGGTGCAAATGGACACGTTACAAATGGACACGAGATTGTGTGCAAAATCTTATGTCCTTTTGTAATGTGTCCATTTGCACCGTGTCCAATTGTACTATGTCCAAGTGCACCGCTCCCGATGAAAAGCACATCACTATTCAAGCCCCACCAAACAGTAATTCTTTAAATTATAACTGTGGGTCGCTCCGTGTGGTACGCGGTTATACGCGTAGTTTCTATGCTAGTTTGTTTTATGCAGTTCGTAACCCAAAGTTGTAGGTAGAGAAATAAATGTTTTTGTCATCATAAATATAATTTGTTCTGTTCTCTCCGTTCCCGTCTTACATTTATATAAACGATTCTCTTTATTATAATTGGGATTGCACGTTTGACTATTGTTGTTTAATAGCACTTTACGTGCCGTTCCTCCCCGCTTCTTTGTTTGCGTCGCCGTCAACGTAGATTTTCCGGGGGCTCGTCTGCGTGGCAATGCTCTCCTTTCGTGGCGTCCTTCGTGGCGGCGAAATGAGAGGAGGAGGGTACCACTGGATCGGAGGCGTGGTACTCCGTGGCCGTCCGATGTCCGGAATGACCGGTCGATCCCTCCTAATTCTTGAACCGGTACGCCCGGGGCTGGTCTTTGGCGGGCTAGCGCCGAACAGTGCTTGCAGCCGGGCCTTAGTGTCCTTCCTTTTCGTCCCGGGGCTGCCCGGGAGGTGATTCTGCTTGGACAGCGGTAGTGGAGCTCCTGGAGCCGGTTGTTCGTTCCTGGCGTATGGCGGACTGTCGCCGAGGATCAGGTCTATAGTGCTCAGAGGATGCAGCGGCTGAGCTCCTGGTGGATTCGGTAATTGTGCGCCGGTTTTCCTTGGCGACCGAACGCAGGTTACCGGAGGCGACTGGGCGCCGTGAGCTCTTGGCGACCGAGCGCCTGAGGCTGGAGGCGACCGAGCGCCTGATGCTGGAGGCGACTGAGCGCCGACTTTTCTCTGCTTAGCCGAGGTGAGATGTAGCGGCGCTGGGCGAGTCCTGCGCCGCGAGATGATCTCGACCTCTGATGGCCGAGTTGAGAATGCCCCGTCCTGTTTGCGAGACGTGGTGATGTGTTGCAAGTCCGGCGTCTAGCGCCGAGAACTTCCTTTATTGTCGAGAGCTAGCGTCTAGCGCTTCCTTCTGCCTCTTTCTCCAACGTTTTAGCGACTTGCGCTTGAAAGTGAGGCGTCTGGCGCCGAGAAACCCTGCAAGACGCCGCGGATAGAGAGCATCATCTCGCTACCTACGGTGGCCGAGATCGCCCTCCGGCGCAAGACTCGCCCAACGCCACTACACTTCACCTCGGCCAAACGGAGAAGAGTCGGCGTTCATCCGCCTCCAACATCAGGCGCTCGGTCGCCTCCATCTACGGGCGCTCGGTCGCCTCCAGCTACAGGCGCTCGGTTGCCTCCAGGCTCGAAAGCTCGGTCGCCTCCAGCTACAGGCGCTCGGTCGCCTCCAGGCTCGAAAGCTCGATCGCCTCCAGCTACAGGCGCTCGGCCGCCTCCAACAACCGGCGCTCAGTCGCCTCCAGCCACCGGCGCTCGGTCGTCGATTAATCTGGGCACGGTGGACCTGACCCTCGGCGCCAGTCCACCATCCGCCAAGGACAAACCATCGGCTCCAGGAGCCCTGCTACCCAGGAAGAAAAGGAGCAAGGACCGACTTCAGGCTTTATTCGGCGCTAGCCCGCCAAAACCAATTACCGGGCATTCCGGCTCGAAAGCCAAGAGGGACCGACCAATCACGCCGGACATCAAACGACCGCGGAGTATCACGCCTCCGATTCCGTGGTATCCTCCGCCGCTTGTCTCGCCTCTACGACGAACGCCCATTAAACGGGATAGTACCACGCAGACGAGCCCCCGCAAAACCGGCATCGACGCAGCGACGCAAACCAAGCGACGAAGTGGAAGAGCACGTAAAGTGCTAGTAAACAACAACTACCAAACGCTTAATCGCAATTGTAATAAAGAAAATCGTTGGCACAAATGTAAGACAGGAATGGAGAGAACAGGATAAATTATATTCCTGATGACAAAAACATTCATTTCTCTACCTTCCAATAAGATAAGTTGGGTAGTATCCTAAAGCGATAGATCTCCTATCCCGTACCTACCCACACCCAGAATAACAAGATTTTGTGGAGGAGTCGAAGTACCCGGTTTTGTCCTACCGGTAGGGTCAAACCGGTACCCATTTGAAGATATGCAAAACACTGTGTAATTACAAAATCTAGATTTATTTTAATCAAAATACAATATAAAGATGTATTCTATCGACAAAAATCACAAATGAAGATATCCTCTTGTTCGATATTGCTGCAGGACTTATTTATTTAACTTTTTAACTTTAGGGATCTCAAAAAGCTTTTTTTTAGTGGTTTCTTTTTTTGAGCGTTAGTTTTTGTTTTCAACTGCTTTTTGTGGGGACACAAAGTCAGGATAACACTTCTTCCTCTTTTTATTATATAAGATGTGTAAGTACCCGGTTTTGCCCCAACACAAGAAAAGTAATAAATATGACGGTTGTATATTCCGGCGTACAAAGTGCCGATCAAAACTAATATGATATACTCTCTAATATATACAGAATACAAGATTTTACCCAACTTTCCCCTATATTTTTTGCAGAACAAATATTACAAAATGAATCTACAAAAAGTAGTGAAATCCCTCTAAAAAAACCATTCTAAAGAAGGGTAAAAAACATATGCCAAGTACATGAAAAGATATCCAAACTTGTACGCGATAAATATAAATCTAAAAAGAAATAATAAACACTATTAACAATTTCTTAATCTATTTAAAAAAATATATGAGATCAATCTAACTAGCCAAGTACTTATGTTGTATGCTATAATATCAATTCATGCACTATCTACACTATTTGACGCTATTTTCGCTCCAATCTAAGATTACCATCAAAATTGCGGTACTTTGTCGATCTAGTGACTTTAGGGCACGGGCGCGATAGCAATGCGCGGAAGCTCTCTGATCGGCGCTCAGCACTTTAAAGTGCGGCCAATCTTCACCGTCCACGCTCGCGACGTCATTGAATTTTTCACACGCTATTCGCCGAATCCGCGGTCTTTTTTTCAGAAAGATCTAATTCGCACATTATCCTGTCGGATGATGCGGAACTTCCGACTAAGAACTTTCTGGAAAGACGGACCAAAAAAAGCCAGGCGAATTTTGGATCTCGTGATCTTGTGGCAGTCGCATAAAAACTCGAACGCGAAATCACGGTCACTTGCACTCGCGAATTATGGATAAAGTTCTTACATAAATTAGTCAAAGTCTTCCTTGAGCCTCGAGAAAGGAGAAGCCTTTTTGTGGGAATTACGCTTTCCTAAAAAATACATTAAACTTTCTAAATTTTGTAAATACTTCTTTCTTTGTAAAAATATAGTTTTGTTAAGATCAAATTGATTAAGTTATTTACCTGCTACATTTTCACTCACGTGCGAACAATAATATATGTAGATAATATATAAATGTATTTCATAAATTGAAATTTTAGTAAACTCGTAAATCATTATATATTTTTTTGACACATGCTTTTTGTATAAAACTTGATAAAATTTTATATAAGATATGTAAATAAATTACACCAAAATTTTCTTTTAAATTATATATCCTGTAAGACATACTTTGCAAATCAAAGGAATCCTAATCGTTTGATATTGTAGCATATATACAGGGTATCTCTAAAGTCTGACCCCACCCCTAGATCTCGGAAACGGGTTTAAATATGGAAAAATGTCTCTGACAAAATTTGCATGGTTTGAAGGGGGCCACATGATGAAAATATCTACTTGACCTTAAGTGATCTTTTCAAGGACAGGTCAATGTGATCGATGTTTTCTTAAATGGAACCCTCTATTTTTTATTGTATATTCTTGGAGCTCTTGTCCAGACGTTTTCAGATAAAATTTTATATAAGATATGTAAATAAATTACACCAAAATTTTCTTTTAAATTATATATCCTGTAAGACATACTTTGCAAATCAAAGGAATCCTAATCGTTTGATATTGTAGCATATATACAGGGTATCTCTAAAGTCGGCAAAATTCTTTTTACTCTCAGATTTTTTGTAGGAAGACAAATCCAAAAAAGTACCCGGTTTTACACTACTTTCTCCTATATAATTCAAATTTTAATAGACTCGTAAATCATTATATATATTTTTTTGACGCATGCTTTTTATATAAAGCTTAATGATATTTTATATAATATGGAAATTTTTAATATCAAGCGATGCGGTAGCATCGCGACGCCAAGTATATGAAAAAACTGGATCCGATTGTTGAGAGTCACTGCATTATGTCAAAGCCCTACCAATAGCTTATTCGAAGTTTTATATCTAATAAACTTTCGATTAAAATACCTCCGGAACTAAAGCCGTAATCAAAAATCAAACGGCACTTTTCTGAAACAATGTAGATGCATGCTTTCGATTGCGACCGGTTTCAATAAAATTGATCAATCCTGAAATATGATAATCATATACCAGAATTGTGACATTTTAATTCTTCAACTTTCAGACTCACGCATGTATATTATGTGCTCGCACCCACATATGCAAAACGATTTTGTCCCTCACGCGGCTTTTATATCGCTCATGTACGATTATTCGCTTGATGCAAAATGCTTTAAGGGACAAAATCATATGTGAATGTATGTGCATACGTACAAGATACGTATAAGATAATCATGTCAAGGCTATAAGAGTATATATCGCGGATAAAATAATAATGTTAAGTTTATAACAGTATACGTACTTATATCACGAAATAATGCAATGAAGAGAAGAAGAGTAATAAAATGTATTATGCAAGGCATTGTTCAACGTGCTTCGGTTTTATCTATTAGCCAAGTGATAACTATTGTAAATGACATTGGGACTGAGAACATTGACGTCATACAATAATGATGATAAGAGAATTATTGGTTAAAATTATGCGCATTTTCTGAAGTAAGTACATGCACGTATACAAATCTTGCATTCCATAAAATAATATTAAAAATAAACACTATAATACTATAATTTATATATATACTAGCACAACACAACGCGCGCTTCGCGCGCGCTATTTATTCTTTTTCATTAAACATTTTTAACGATCTTTCTGTCTCTTTCTCTCTCCCTCCCTTTCTTTTGCTTATACTTCCTCTTCTTCAATTTTAACTTTCTCTCTCTTTTTCCCTCTCTATTGTAACGATACCGTTACTAACGGCCTAGCGGCAGAGCTGCCAGTTCGTGGGAAATGGGAGCCCCCACCACTTACCGCGGGACTTACTAACACAGACCTCTCCTCCCCTCTCTCTCTCTCTCTCACTCACTCGACCACATTCGATTCACATCATCGAACATCAATCAAACATGCAATTTTAAATATACTTTAAATATATTTTCCAAATTCAATAATAAATATCAATGAATATTTACTGACCCCTCTCACGATAAATTTTTAATAATATTTCTTAATAATATTTAACAATATATTTAATAATACTTAATAATATTATTATTTGACATTATATTTATTCTCCTTCTTTTTTCCTTCTCTCTCTCTCTCTTTCTCTCTCTTTCCCCTCCACCCTCTCTCTCTCCTCTCCCTCCCTCTCGCTCTCTTATTCACTCGACCACATTCGATTCACATCATCGAACATCAATCAAACATGCAATTTTAAATATACTTTAAATATATTTTCAGACACGCATTTTTAAATATTCTTTAAATATATTTATACTACGAATATTTACTAACCCCGCTCACGATGTACAAAGTGTCACCGAACTGTCACCGAACTGTCACACCAAACTGTCAAACACCGAACTAAACTCGATTAAACGTTCACACCTCTCATCGACGCATCATCGACCGCCAATCAGACACGCGGTAAAATGGCAACAATACGTGCGATACATATCGACTCAAAACGCTCATTTCACGCGTCTACATGACTTTTTTTGTAGAGGATAATGTTAAGTATAAATATATATTTATTTTACTTTCTTTAGATTTGTAAGGAGCTTCAGACAATATCACCGAAATTCTTGCAATTTCTCCTTTCTTTCTCAGGCTATGAGAACAAAACTTCGATGGCGACTTTCCATCTTCGTGCATAAATCGAAACCAGGTCGATGCTTTATTTCCGATACTTAAGTCGAGCCCGCGAAAAGCCGTCGGATACAAAGCCGAAGCGCCATAACCACTTAAGGAAGCTTTCGTGGGAGGCTCATGGGATAGAATCTGCGTCTCATGGAGTATATAGTATAGCATAAGCGGATTTAAGACGCTCCGTTATATCTTTATAAATGGAACTACTCGGGCCCCGCGCGCGGAAACGCCTTCATATCGCTCAAGGGATTTGCAAAATTACGTCTTTGTTGCCCGCGTCGCGCTGTCCCGGGAAAAATCTCGAGAAAAATCGTCGGCCTTTGAGCCACCAGATCGACGCATAACGCGGATTGCCTGGCGAGTGATGATGCCGATAATTACGATGATAATGGCCATTGGGATGCTCTATCGCGTGAGATATTTGAAATTAAGGGCCCAGTCTGTTCTAGCAGTATGAAAAATTGATAATTTTTAGGAATTTTTTTTGAAAGATATTAGAAATTGATCTTTTTTGGCCTTTTACATATGTTTTTATTGATGTTTAAACAGTACGTTAGTATTTTTAAATCTTGGATATTTAGCTTTCTTTTTGTTCAATACGAGCGTAGCGTATTCGAAAATGCATGATTCGACATGCTACACCTCGTGTAATTGTTAGAAATAAATAAATTTGGACTAGTTTTATTCTATAGAAAGTTTATGGGATTGATATTGAGCCTAATTTCACTAGAGAAAATTGAAGAATAACAAAGAAGTGTCATTTTAAAATTAGATATTTCAATTTCGCTGAAATTTTTTCATTTCTTAGAGATTAGAAAAATATTAAGTATCAATTTTTAAAATTTTAATTAGATGTAGTATCCCAAAAAATGTGTTCTTCTTTATTAAGAAA